TACGGATACACTGAAACTCCGTTCATATTGGAACCTATTTCCGTTCTTCCATCAAGCTGATCAATGCGTCAGAGATCCATTCGCAGTTACGACGTCTCAAGTTGGGTGCACAGCTTGCGTCAATAGCATTCTTCATGGCACATTTGAGACGATGCGTTCAGCGTTCGGTTCACCAACCTTGTTCATCACTGACAATTGAAAATGTTGAGCTGCAGATTGCGAGCTCAAGTTACAGGTAAGAAGATTAGAAGATAGGCGCGTCGTTGGAGCGGGAAGAGTGAGCGCCAAGCGTGCGCACACTAGGGCATGGTCGGAATCAAGGCACGTACTCCAAATTGACCGACTGTCTTAGACTGATGTGCGCCATTTGTAGCTATATGGCAATATGGTCACTTTGGGTCCAGGTCATGGAGGGATTCGGTGTGCACGTTTGTGCTGGGAAGCCATGCTGTTGTGATAAAGCTTGTGGTCGGCGCACGGTTGCAGGAATCGATCACCATTGTCTGTTTGGCGTGCATCGACTCCGAATCGTCCTCCCAGATGCTTTTCAGAGTCTGTGAGACGTTGTACTTGGGCATCCATGTCACCAGCAACAACCACTGTTTCGGTATTCTTCGCCTTGCGAAGAAGTGATGACAGCTGTCGATAGAAATGGCCTTTGATACCTTTTGAACTGCATGCAGTAGGGGCATAAACTTAGGCAATGAAAGGCACCTTGGCTTCAGACGCTGTTTATTGACTCCAACAAAGCTTCGGAGTCGAGCTGCACGTATGCGGCTTTTCACCGGTAGCCATTTAAGCAGGTTGCCTTCAGCATGTTTGCTGAGGGCGATAGCAACAGCGTAAATACCTTGAGCCATTGTCTCGGTATCATCAGAGACGCGAATATTGTAGCAATGGTCGTGAGATTCAGAACCAGGAAGTCGAAGATTCTTCACAATGATGTTATCTTGTATGCGTGTTTCGGCGGCACAACACACATCAATGCCGAGAGAGTGGAAAGTGAAAGTGCGGTCTGCTGGCCCATCCAACCTAGAGCTCGAACGTTAAAGGAACCAGTGTGATATGAAACTCCAGGCTTGATGGAAGAGCTACATGTATCGATGGCTGCAGCAGCAAGGTTAGCAGCAAATTCTAGCCCAATAGACAGGGAAGATGAAATAGAGGAGCGAAAAATAGGAAGTAGAAGAGGAAGTATTGTCAAGAAGGCAGATGGTACTCTTCGGCTGCCCATTCCAAGAGATGGGTTTTGTTCGTGATGTCCTTCCTCTAGCCTTTGACTCAACAGTCTGACTTAGAAGACAGTGGGCTACATAGAGCTTCTCTTGCGGTACTCCACCCGGAATCTTTGGCTCAACAGCCTGACCCACAAACTATTAAGGCAAATGCAGCTCGGGAGTGTGGTGGCGGTGAATTATTGGAATCTGCTCGAGGCCTGTTGTGATAAAGGTTGTGGTCGGCGCACGGTTGCAGGAATCGATCACCATTGTCTGTTTGGCGTGCATCGACTCCGAAGCGCCTTTCCAGATGTTCAGAATATGAAAGACGGGTCACTTGGGCATTCAATTCACCAGAAGCAATCGTGATGTCAGTATTCTTCATCATGCAGAGAAGAGATGAAAGTTGATAGCAGAAATCATCTTTGATACAGTAGGGGCGTAAACTGTTGCAATGCAATGGCACCTTGTTTTCATACGGTGCTTATTAACTCCAATAGTAGTTCGAACTCGTACCGCATACATGAGACTGTTCACTGGTTTCCAGTCTACTGTATTACCTTCAGCATATCTGCTAAGTGTGACACCCACACCGTGATTACCTTGAACCATTGACTTGGTATCATCAGAGACCCGAAGAGTGTAGTCATGGTCGTCAGATTCAGAACCAGGGCGTCAGTCGAAGATTCGTCACAACGCTGTTATCTTGTATGTGTGTTTGGGAGACACAGCACGCATCAATACCAAGAGAATGCGGAGTGGGAGTTAGTGTTGTCTGCTGGCCGATCTGACCCAAAGTGCGGACGTTAAGAGAACAAGTGTGAAATGAGATTTGTGATTTGATGGGCCGGTTACGAGTATCGATGGTAGCAGCCGCGAGGTTAGCGCAAATTCTTGCTCAGTAGACGCGGAGGAAGAAATAGAGGAGCGAAAAATAAGAAGTAGAAGAGGGCGTAGTGTCGCGAAGGCAGATGATACTCTCCGGCTGCCCATTTCGATTGGGGTTTTGTTCGAGGTGTCCTGCCTCTAGCCTTTGACTCAACATTCTGACCCACAAGACAGTGGGGTACATGGAGGTTCAGTTGCGGCACTCCGCTCGGAGCCTTTGGCTTAATAGTCTAACCCACAAGGCGGTGGGGAGCAAGTCCGGCTCGGGAGTGTGATTGCAGAGGCCGGTTGACATCCGCTCGCGGCCTGTCACACACAGCTTTAGAAGATCTGGAACAATTCACATGTGTTTTATGATGGTATTGCGTTACGCACGTTTGACCACGGCTAGCCGCAGTTGGAAGTTGGCGGGTTTGCACCCCTTTGTTTAGGGGCTACTTGGTTTGTTGCAGGCAGTAGCAAACCATTGAATACTCGAAGGTGCCCACCCACCGTCAGCGACAAAGCGTTGCGCTCGTGCTTTACGCCAATTTAGCTGTGAGCTTATAACCCATAGACCTGTTGTCTCCCATGGCTGTTTTAAAGGATGAGGGCCATCGACCTCTCCCTGATCTCCGAAGAGTGTTGGATTGTGAGACTGTGTTAGTCTCACCCCTAATCATTGACCTGAGTAGTGTGAGTGCCTCTGTATGCACATGCAAAGTGCCATCCAGCATAGCTCATTGGGTCGCGGGGATACGCAAGTCATCGCCCCACGTTATGGTCCACTCTCGTTTCGGTAGTAAAGCTTATGTATTATAGTCCCACTTTTTGTGGGATCTTGACCTTTTAAGGAATCATTGAAAACACGTATGTTTGTAACTCTCTGATGTGCCAGATTACAGAGTACGGAAAACATTCACGTATTTCTACGTATATATGTCAAACATAACATAGCGATCAGCTGAGTCGAATGCGCTTATGTAGTGGAAGATCACAACTCAATTGAACATGTGGTGGCATCTGCAGTACACAGATATAACTCATGCTGTCCTGCCCCGGCAAAAAATTTTCCAGTTTGTCTCAACCGAGATAGCTATCTTAAAATGCATTGGTGGGCGGAATTGGAGGCCAGCAGATTTGTCATTGTGGGGGTCAAACTGATACCTTTATGCTCAGCACAGATTTTGCAATTATCCTATTAGTATGGTGCCACTGTGATCGATTCGCTCCAGATATCTAGGAGTTCCTTCTCATCATAACTGCTCAAACAATTAAACCAATAAGTTTTGGGCTGGTTCGCCGAGCTGGGCGATTTCTTTGCAGACGTAAATCAGTAGTTTTCAGAGAGCATCATCACTGCCAAATACTGACCAATAATTCGGTAATTACTTTGAGGTTTGATCGTATTTCGAACCACCGCATCAGCTGGAATGTCCAGAACAACCGGAAATGTTCCAGCCAATGTCATCTAACGCGAATTGGTTCAATAATGGAAAGGATCAGTGAATCAGAACGATTGCAGGAAACTGTATTAGTCAACCACCGCCCTTGTTTTTTTCCACTTCTTAAGTCCACTGAGCTCATGAGGCTTCTTTGTCTGTTTGCAGTGATAGTTACAGCTCAAAGTGTGCAGTTTATCGGCTCGCATTATGCTTTGTGACCGTAGGGAGTCCTGGATTCCGGCACGCTGACGGACGCTTTGGACATACAGCTTCCGATGTGGTGACGCGTACCTCATCACCAGCCTGACAGTGGTACTGCATTGTGTCAAATTATGCAATATACTCTGTGTGGTGTGTACATGATGGCATCGTGTAGTGTAGTGCTATATTACATCATTCTAAACTTATTTAGGATGTTGTTACAGTCCTACTGGGCATAAATATACGGTTGGACATGAAAAATGAAGCGTATCAAATTTCTTCAAAATGTGAGCTGATACACCTTTTACATGGTCATATTTGTCCTTAGCACACCAGGTTACTATAGATTAGAATATTATGAACTCAGTGGCAATTTTCATTTGCTGGAATGAGGTCACCATAGTGCATTTACTTCACTCCAAAATGCACTACTTCATGTCGAAAATGGGTATGTAGTTTCCTCTGCTTATTTTATAAGATACTTGTCGAGGCTCGTTTTGTATATCTATTGCCCATAAACTTCTGTAAATGGGCTCTAGAGGTCTGGTTTAAAAAGGCCTATTCTCAAGCCTCAGTGCTTACGCTGTCGTCAACATAAACACCTGAGTAATGCAATGCAAAATTGCTCAACGCGTTTGCGCTACTTCAGTTCTCATCACATCTCTAGATATTTCGTTAGTTCTAGTGTCATCTGTCTTGTGATACCAGCCAAATGAGGAAACACCGAAAGCAAGTGTGTTTGCTAATACTCGATTTACCGTAAAACATTCGCATGTTTCATGGGCGCAACTTTCTGAGCAAACACTGAGTAGGACAGCTATTGAGTGAGTGCCCTGGAAATTGAAGCACATACATCAAGCATTTGGTGCCTGCTGCAGAGCACTTATATGATCTGTGCAGTCCGTCCTCTTACACTTGTTCGACTTCCGTCTCTCGTGGAAGCACTTACAATTGGGTGATCTGACTATACTCGAGTAACCGATCTACCTAATACGCCCCACCGTCCCTAGCACCTTTGGCGCAAGCACTTTTTCACCGAATATTGAACCTCAAGTATGTGTTGATTTGCCCAGCAACGGCCCTCTGACTACGAATACTTCGTCGTTATTCGAGAAAACGTTTTAACTACGTTGTCGAGGATCTTGCGCGTTCGTGTCATCTCCATTGCATCATCATTTAATATCATTGTTCTGGACGTTTTTGCTTCGGGATCGTTGTTCTCTTCTTATTGCTCTTGGAGTTGTTATTTTCGCCCCTCCTCCTGTCACAGGTATTGAGATGTTCCATCAACTCATGAATCAGGCTGAAGCAGGCGATCAGGTGGGCCTCCTGTTGCGCGGTTTGAAACGAGAAGAATTACGTCGAGGCCAAGTTGTGGGCGCACCGAAATCCCTGTCGATGCATAATTACATCCAAGCACAGGTAGGTGGGCTCCTATCACATTCCATTTCCTTCGAGGAGCTCCATTTCCAAGTCTAGGCCTCTTGTTTGACATTCTTCTGTTACATCACTGTATTGCCGGCCAGCGGCTAGGAGTTTATGCGCCTGTTTTGCAATCCTCAAGCCACTCGTTCGAACCTACGCAGGTATCGGCCACGTCACTGTATATCCAAGCTGAAGATTGTTTTGCAATGAAGCCCCCACTCGCGATTCCAACGAGCGGTGGATGCATACCTACGTAAACCATTTTATGCTTCTCCGCTCGTCTTTCTGTATCAAAGCAGTCCAATGTTTCAGGTGTCTCAGGCTTAAGATGTACAGGGGTCACCTGTTCGACTCCGCGTAGGTGCCAGGCCACCTCGCAGTATCCTGCTAGTTCGTACACGACTGCTGGTGGTGGTGCTCGGCTCAGACAGGCTGTTTGTGAGCTCCGTGCGATTAAACTGGACTTCAAAAACCCTTCTTAGCTACCGATTAATTTATTCTCTTTCAGTTGGTCAGTCATGGGGTGCACCCCTGAATGTAGTGGATCCAATGTTAGCTCGTCACGTTCTCACTACCGGAATGGGTGGAAGCAGTTCAGGGGATATCCAACAGTTAGCTTAATACATTTTCGCAACGATGGAGAGCAAACAAGCTGTTCAGTTCCGGCTGGCAATTGGTCGACTGGATGCCACTGTTGCCCATCCGAACTCCTCGAATCAAAAACGATCTTGCCAACACGCTTTCCTAGCTATCGTGCCGTGACAGCCTTTACTACCGTAATTGATTGATTGATTAGTTCGGCGTACGTTGAACTAATCACAATGGAACGAAACTGAATAATCAGATGCAAGAAACCGACTGCAAGTACGCCGCTAACTGCGCCATGTCAGATACCGTCTCTAACCATTGCTGGGGCTATCACTAGGCCCCCATCCACGAAGACAACAAACACCAGGCTGACAAAGTCTCAGTCAATTATTTCATGACACTATGCCACTTCATTGACTGGCCACCTCGCGGTTTCAGCCAGCTTGGTTCAACCACGACGTATAATGCACGCCGAGCAAACCGGTCTTCGGCCATACGGTGGACATGGCCTAGCCAACGAAAGCGATGAAGCTTCAGTAAACACTCTAGTGAGGCATCAGAAGACATCTTGCCAAAAAACAACAACTGGCTGACCTCAGCATTGCTCATCCGGTGTTCCCACCAGATTTGAGCAATACGCCGCAAGTACCGGTAACCAAACACAGCCAAGCGTTTAATGTCTTCGCCTCGAATCGGTCACGTCTCCTATACATATAATATAACCGGCCTTATCGCAGCGTTATACACCCTACCTTTCACCAACAAGCTTATATTCCGCTGTCTCCATAGATGGCTGAGCCTCTGGAAAACCACACGGACATTGCTGATACGCGAAGTAACCTCTTCAGTAATGTGATCACCAGATGTGACACAGCTACCAAGGTAAGTGAACCGATCCACCACTTCCAGTAGCTGTTCGGAAACAGCTAAAACCCAAGGTGTTGCGGTCCAACCCGTAACAACACTTTGTACTTTGAAGGCGTAAAGCACATGCCGAAGTCTACAACGCTACGCACAAGTCTGTGTAGTAGTGTTTGCATAGCCAATGCGTCAGACCAAAGGAGAACTATATCATCTACATACTCCAGGTTTGTCAGTCGATCATCTGGCATAGCTTACACTCCGGTAGAGTCTGAAAGAACAGAGTCACTCATGTTCATTTCAATCATAAAGTTGTAAAGGAATAGAGATATAGGACAACCCTGGACAACCGCATTTGTCTTGGGGAACTCACGAGACAGTTTCCCGCAGACCCTTATACGGCCTCGGGAATCACGTTATAGGGATTACAGAATAGATAGGAATTTATCCCGCACACCCTTCATGGATAGGCAGTGCCACAAAATTGTCCGGTCATCCGAGTCTAAAGCAGCTTTCAAATCAAGGAAAACCACTATTATCGGTCATCCGAATATGTGTCTCTGCTCCAACATTTGGTGCAGAGTAACTATGTGGTCGATACATGCACCACCATGGCGGAAGCCAGTCTGGCTTTCAGTAATTCTGTTCTCACGAGGACCAGTAAGTCGTCGGAGAATGATACCCGTAAGTAGTTCGGATGCAATAATATTAAGCCTAATGCCTCGATGGTTTTCGCGTCAAGTACGCTGACCCTTCTTGAAGATGGGCACGATCGTTAATGGTCGTCAGTCTGAAGGCACTTCTTCGGTGTCACACATCGTGTTACAAAGAGAAGCAAGTCCAGTCAATAAAGAGACACCACCATCTTTCAGCAAGGATGGGTGAAGATCGTCGGTTCCGGGAGCCTTGTTTTCTTTCAACACTGAAAGCTCATGACTTGGTCGAGAGCATAGAACGCCCTCATTTCAAAACTGGCCCCGGCTGGAACGCCTTGGGGTCCAAAAATCGATGAAGACGTTTGACTGGATACACTAACTGACATGGCTAGCATCCGACCTCAATGACGTTCGTGCTCTGAGTTACTTTATCCCCGCTCCTCTATCTTAGCCTCACCGTTCAACTACGATCTCATTTCCTAGCATAATATAACTTTGTATGATCACTTTTTTGCTGCTTAATAGCTGTCTGGTATCTTTCCGGAACGGTGCCCATCCGTTACTAGTAGCTCAGCTGGCATGCATCTGTTGTGTTTTTTTTTCTTCCAAGTATTCCTGCACAGTAGTTGAGATGTTTCCACCGATAGCTAACGCGTATATTGCTTCCTCTAAAGTGGGATTTGTGACATCAACTTCCCACGTAGCTTCAGGTGATTCAACAAACGGCAATGTCGCAGTAGACCTGCTGAACTGCTCTTCAAAATGTTTCGCCCAACGGGCTAGTTGACGACACTGAGAATGGCCCAGCTGCCCGTATTTATCAGCTGTTGTTTCGCTAAAGTATGGTTTTCTCGGACCCGCGTTCCGGTTGAGCTGGAACGGAACTCGGCTGTTCCCAATAGCACTGGTTTTCTCCATCTCACATGTATTTGCAACCCACTAGCGTTCCCGGTCTATTCGAAGACTTCTTGCGATGCGTCGTTTCAGACAGTTACGGACACTGAAACTCCGTTCATATTGGAACCTATTTCCGTTCTTCCATCAATCTGATCAATGCGTCAGAGATCCACTCGCAGTTACGACGTCTCAAGTTGGGTGCACAGCTTGCGTCAATAGCATTCTTCATGGCACATTTGAGACGATGCTGTCAGCATTCGGTTCACCGATCTTATTCATCACTGGCTATTGAAATTGTTGAGCTGCAGATTGCGAGCTCAAGTTACAGGTAAGAAGATTAGAAGATAGGCGCGTCGTTGGAGCGGGAAGAGTGAGCGTCAAGCGTGCACGCATTAGAGCACGGTCGGAATCGAGGCACGTGCTCCAGCTTGACCGACTGTCTTAGACTGATGTGCGCCATCTGTTGCTGATGGCAATATGATCACTTTGGGTCCAGGTCATGGAGGGATTCGGTGTGCACGTTTGTGTTGGGAAGCCATGCTGTTGTGATAAAGCTTGTGGTCGGCGCACGGTTGCAGGAATCGATCACCATTGTCTGTTTGGCGTGCATCGACTCCGAATCGTCCTCCCAGATGCTTTTCAGAGTCTGTGAGACGTTGTACTTGGGCATCCATGTCACCAGCAACAACCACTGTTTCGGTATTCTTCGCCTTGCGAAGAAGTGATGACAGCTGTCGATAGAAATGGCCTTTGATACCTTTTGAACTGCATGCAGTAGGGGCATAAACTTAGGCAATGAAAGGCACCTTGGCTTCAGACGCTGTTTATTGACTCCAACAAAGCTTCGGAGTCGAGCTGCACGTATGCGGCTTTTCACCGGTAGCCATTTAAGCAGGTTGCCTTCAGCATGTTTGCTGAGGGCGATAGCAACAGCGTAAATACCTTGAGCCATTGTCTCGGTATCATCAGAGACGCGAATATTGTAGCAATGGTCGTGAGATTCAGAACCAGGAAGTCGAAGATTCTTCACAATGATGTTATCTTGTATGCGTGTTTCGGCGGCACAACACACATCAATGCCGAGAGAGTGGAAAGTGAAAGTGCGGTCTGCTGGCCCATCCAACCTAGAGCTCGAACGTTAAAGGAACCAGTGTGATATGAAACTCCAGGCTTGATGGAAGAGCTACATGTATCGATGGCTGCAGCAGCAAGGTTAGCAGCAAATTCTAGCCCAATAGACGGGGAAGATGAAATAGAGGAGCGAAAAATAGGAAGTAGAAGAGGAAGTATTGTCAAGAAGGCAGATGGTACTCTTCGGCTGCCCATTCCAAGAGATGGGTTTTGTTCGTGATGTCCTTCCTCTAGCCTTTGACTCAACAGTCTGACTTAGAAGACAGTGGGCTACATAGAGCTTCTCTTGCGGTACTCCACCCGGAATCTTTGGCTCAACAGCCTGACCCTCAAAACTGTGTGGAGCAAGTGCAGCTCGGGAGTGTGGTTGCAGTAAATTACTGGAATCTGCTCCAGACCTGTCACACACAGCTTTTGAAGATTTAGAACCATGCACATATGTTTTGCAACCGTTTTATGTTACTCACCTGCGACCACGGCCAGCCACAGGGGGAAGTTGGCGAGTTTGCACCAATTTGGCTAGGGACTGCCTGGCTTGAGGCGGGCGGTAGCAAACCATTGAGCACCGCAAGATGCCATCTCACCGTCAGAAACAATGCATGGCGCTTGTGCTCTACGCAAATGGAGCTGTGAGCTTCTAATGCGTAGACCTGTTGTCTCCCATGGCTAAGTCTTAAAGGAAAAGAGCCATCGACCTCTCCCTTACCTCGAAAGATGATCGGATTGTGACACTGAAATAGTCTGACCCCTAACCATTAATCTCTCTCTGGTATGAGTAGCTCTGAAGACAATTGAAAAGTGGCACCCAGCATAGCTCATTGGGTCACGGGGGTACTCAAACCATTACACCACGCGAAGGTCCAGTCTCGTTGCGATGGTATCGTGGTTCTCCTGTATTTGCCATGACACAGTATGTACCATGGTTATTACGCCTGTTTCCTTTCCTCGCTTTTGGATTCGGCTGCATTTTGGTTGCGCATTATGATCTAAACTCGCTATCAGATAGCTACCAAACGGACTTGTATTTCTTGCTGGGCTTGACATCTATCCCAGTGGTCGAATAGTGATGCACTTTGGTAATGTAAGTTACTGCAGAGATGTTCCAACACTAGTCCTCACGATTGACGAATGATCTGGGAGAGTAGTCTGTCGCTTCACGCCCCTTGGTTGCGGCACATCTGAAAAACACTAGTCACTAACTTTTTTCGCAGCTGTCCGTTTAATCCAAGAGACATTACCAGTTAAACTGCACTGAAGTACCGGTTTCTAAAACTAGTCTGCCCTAACCGATTATTTTTATTTTTATTCCTCACCTTCTCATCACTATCGATCGGGCTAAGCGTCCAGTGACTCCGCATATTCCACAGTGCACAGCGATAGGTTGCCTGACTATTGGTATTTGTGCTACTTAGCTCTTTTTCGATGCATTAACTACTTGGTACGACTTCGTCTCAGCTCTCATTGATCAGCAGTCTCTGTGGGTTACCACTGGACCATGTTTTGCACCAGAAGCATCTGATTCAAAGTCGCCACGCTATTTGCAAAACTTCAAGTGCTGTATCCGTCTTGGTATTGCTCCATAGCTACATATCAAAACATTGGCAATTTTTCTGTGCGAACCAATCGGGCCGACAATTCGTCCTCTTCCTGGATAGAAGCCCTAGGATCATTCACATCACTGACCTTATCCGGTTTTGTGCAACAACGGAATCACAAGTGCCCCTATCTTGAGTCTTCTCCCCATATCTGACCACCACTTTTATCCTTTACTTATCGACGATCATCCTAGTTGCATTCGCTTCATTCCTGTGCTCGACTCATCAAGTTGCGCTAGTACAATTTTACTGCGATATACACAACTTATAATTTCACGATATTCTAATTTTTAAACCTTCCTCTTGGTTATCGGTGTTGACTCCATTGAACGTTTTCCGTCAGAAACATTTGCCCGTTCCTCAACACGCAGCCTTATTTATTTCCTTTGTTTATTTTTCTCTAGGTTTACATGTTATCTAAAAAGGAAGGCGGTCGATCCAAACCGTTCGTGAATAGGTGCCTCATGCACGTCTATAGCAAATCTTGGGATTGTTCGGCCTTCATGATGCTTCCAAAAGAGAAGGCAATGGTTATGCCCGGAGAAGACTCTATCGTTGAAATTGACTTCTACAGGAAAATGGTACTTTTTGCTTGTTTCCGTTTATTTTACCTTCTAAAGTCATTTTCTTACTTAGCACACCTTTATCTCACTTAAAACCTGATCAGCATGATTATACCGGCTGGTTTCTGCTTTTCCTTTCTAGGTTATCGAACCAGGTCAACGTTTCACCCTTCGCTCTGGCAGTCACACGTTGGGTTATGGTGTCGTGGGTCAAACACTACCCGATCCCGGTCTTGGAAACTGGGGCACCTGACGTTTTTGTTGTCCTTGCTTCCACCTGCGGCGCCACTCATTCTATTGGCTCTACTTCCCCCCCCCCTCCGCACTCGTTTATAGTCCTGTAGCCTTTGTATCTATTCTTCCCGCGCTTCGTTTCACGTTTAATTCATGAGGGCCACTGTGCTTCTTTGATGAAGAACATGGTTCACTTTTACTCTGGTTCTTCTAACATTTCTACGCATTTTGGACGTATGATATATTCTGGTATCGTAGATTAGATGGTACACTGTGCGCGCAGTTGCTCTCGGTCAGGGTACAATCGTCTATCCTGCAATATCTCTTGCGTTGGATCTCGGTTATGACCCCCGATTTTGTGAGCAAGTCTACTGTTACACCGAGAGGAACTCAGGAAACTCGACAACGTAGTATGACGCTTGTTCGAGTAACCGTCAAGAACATCTGTACATCAAATGGGTAAAACCACGCAGATCATCAGCATTGGTATTTTGCCGGCCAGCAACGTATTGAATTGGGTAAGTACGTGAAGAGAGAATCAAGGCGCAAAATTATCATCAATACACGTTAGTTGAGGGTGAAAAACACCTCAGCTAATGTGCCGCAATACACGAAGCTAAAATGCAAGGTTACTCTACAAAAAATATTCAAAAGCAACTAATATAATGTTAAATATTATTTTATGCATTTTGTGTGAGATGTGAATTTGAAGTGCAATCTAAATGGGAGCAGGATGGACAAAGGAACTCACAACACGAACTCCGGCTCTTAGCCATATCAACAAGTGTGTCTAACAAACGTGTTCATCGTTCTTAGGACCCCAGCCAGGCAATGGGGAGGCACCAACTTCCAAGTGAGGGTTTCATTTCTTTCGACTAAGTCACTGCTTGACCTCCCCTCCTCCTCCAATCGCACTCCAGGCGCGCAAACAATGCACGTCGCGGGAGTTGGTGGGCTGGCATGCACAACAGGCGGCCTAGCCATCGGAACCTGGTGTGTGATATAATGGTGCTGAGGCATTCACTCGCTGTTCCTGCACTAAATACGCGACGCCGAACACGCTTATGGCTCACGCGGTGCTCCCACCAGACATGACCTAAGCTGCGGAGGTCGAATGTGACTGGCCTTTTTATGTCTGTTGACCTGATGGACCAGTTCTCACAACTGTATAAGCGGGTTGAACGGACGGCTGCATTATAAACTCTGCCCTTCAGGGCGAGAGTGATACCGCGTCTGCGCCACGGGTGGCGGAGATTAACGAGAGCACCTCGTGCTTTCGCTATACGGTTCGTGTTCTCATCCTCGATCCCACGGGCGTTAAAAAAGCTGCTCAGTCGCTTGAATTTTCGAACGACTTCTAGCTGATCACCACCACGGTTCAGCGCATGGATGGTTTCCTGTCAATATTGGAGAAGTAATTCGCATTTCGATGTAGCAAAGCATATCCCAAAACGATTGACAGCCAGTGCTAATCGGTCCAGTGCTGCTTGGCACGGTTGGGAGATGTTATAGATTAGGGCAATATCCCCCGCATACTCAAAGTCAAGAAGTCGCTCACCAGAAAGTAGCTCCACACTTTATATATTGTGTCCAGTGAACCCTGTTTTCCATGACTTCGTCAATAACGAAGTTAAAGAAGAAAGGTGACAGTGGGCAACCTTGTCTCACACCGCTGGCGATACTGGAGAGCAGCGACAGTTTACTATAAACCCTCATTCTGCCCGAACTATGCGCATACAGCGCTTTGCTAATGTTACGTATTTACCGGGCACATCTTTTCTCTATGCCAATTGATGAAAAATGTGTCATCGCAGCTCGACATTTTCAGGCCCTACGTGAAGTACGAGCTAAGGACGTAGTCGTAATGAAACCAGATAAAGCGTCAGTAGTGGTCATCATGAACAAAACCGAATACAATGAGATGTGCGCCATACTCAACGATGCAAGTAAATTCGAACGGCTCACGAAATCGGGGGACATAACCAATCTCGAAACGCGCATAATTCGTCACTTGGAATTGCTTCTCCACCGCGTGATAGACTGTGATGCATTTAATAGTTTCAAGCTGAGTGGTAGCACTATTCCAGTTGTATGGGTCCCCAAAGACACATAAGAGTGAAGTGCCACTCAGGCCAATTCTTTCAATTCTCAACGCGCCCCAGCATAAACTCGCTCGTTGGTTAGTGCAGTTGCTATCTCCACTGAAACAACCGTTCAATCCGTACAGTTTTACAGACTCGTTTCAACTCATGCATCACCTGGATGAACTCAACCTGTCAGACAAAATCCTATGTTCCTTCTATGTAGAATCCTTATTTACCAACGTGCCGCTACATCAGACGGTTGATTACATGTGCGAATTAGCTGAAAACGGTGGCTGTTCGCTATCAATTCCGACTGAATTACTAAGTGAATCTCTACTATTGTGCACGGAGAATGTGGATTTTCACTTCCGGAATACACCATATCGTCAATGTGACGGCGTAGTAATGGGTAGCCCATTAGGTTTTGTGCTCGCTGATTTCTTCATGTTGATGGTAGAAAGAAGCATTTCTACCTAAATAGCCCAAGTGCCATACTACAAAAGATATGTCGATGATATCTTGGCTTTCCGTTCGTCGGAGCAGCAGCTCACACATTTGGTAGAACGGCTCAATGGTGCTCATGCTAACTTACGGGTTATATGCGAAATGGAACAGAACAGCTGTCTGCCATACCTGGACATACTCATAACTCTCAGGGAGGATGGATTGATCAAGAGGTCCATTTACCGAAAATCAACTTTTTCCGGTCAGTACCTGCACTGCACCAACTTCACACCAGAGCGCATCAGTTCGCTCAGTATTATTGTATGGGTGCGAGTCCTGGCCGATTCTCCTGGAAGGCATGCGTCATCTTTCTGCATTCGATAACGGTTGCTTAAAGAGGATCGCTCTTATTTGGTGGCAACATCGAGTTAATGGTAATGACGTTCGACGTCGCATCTTGGGGAATGCGAGTATTCCCTTCAACAAACTGGTTTCGTTGCGCCAGTTATCGGTCGGTCACGTCCTACGCATGACACCTGAGCGTCTACGGTATCGCGCTCTATTCCCTCGTCAAAAACCTGGTTGGGAGCGACCTCGTGACGGTCAGCCTTCCACTTGGCGGCAGCACATGAAATCGCTGACGTCGTGTCTATCCGCTGTTGGATCCGTACGTCTTCCAGGATGGGGACCCAAAATGAGGAGTGCCAGTGGCTTAGCACTCTTGAAGACATGACCTGCAACCGGAATCAGTGGAAGAATTGTGTATAATATTGTATTGATTCACATGTTTAATACTACAAACATTGAAAATGACAAAAAAGGTTAAAACTCGGCGTGTGAAAAACAAACTGAAAACGTTTTGTTCTACTTTTTGTCAAAATGGTCCTTTCTTCCTACGGCCATTAGCTGAAGTGTGTTGCTCACCTTCAACTACCACACCACGATGATCATGACGCACTGACTTCCCCTTATCTGCTAATCTTCAACGCTTCGTTGGCTCTATGTCTAGTTGCTAGGTTGCTGAGATTGGTGATGACTTGGCGGCGTCCGTATCCGGATTTGACTGTCACTGTGGCCTCCATCAGAACAGCCACAGGACGCCTGCGCCTACAAAGGGGACCATGGGTGGGTTGCACTGCACCACCTATAGTTGCACCCACATACCCCATATCCGGTGTAAACCCGAAGGAATAAGACCGCGAGGCATGTGGATGGGAGCCACGTTTCATCAACGGAGCGGGCCCACACTCCTTCAACAAGCAGAACAGAAGCATTCCGAGCTAATTGGGAAATCATACACACCAGACATACACATAGCGGTGACTGGACCGTAGCCGGTTCCACACAGGATGCAACCACTCTTTGAGCCTAGCACCGTCACGAGGACAGTGCACACCGTCCTTTCCAGCGACGACAAACTGTCTCCTAGAGCCAATATGGACGAGGTAGTGGGTAATATACAGTTAGGCACCATGTCAACATTCACATCAAGCACAGACACATCGGGGAGCTCAAACAACATCTACTTCTGAAATGCAAGATTACTCAGCACGCAAGCAAACGTACCACATACGCCGCCTTATTGGCCTGGATTAGTAAATCGAATGGGAGCATACGCATCATGCTTCTATTCCGCGTGCAATAGTACTTTCTCCTGCACCTGAGCAACCGCCCTTATGATCAGTCTACGGAGTTCGCATCGATCAAGTTTGCCATGGATTCGCAACACCTGAAATCAACGTGAGTTTGTCGTAAACTTACCTTCTTCATGTTCTGGTGATGTTATTTCCTGTTTGCTCGAGTGCCCTTTCCCTGCATTAAGTTAGCCGTACAAAAGCGGTATGAGTATCCTCGTCGAATTCATTCGGTATACATCGATTGGCATCATCCGTGTCCAATGGAAGTTCGGATGAAACATAAGCACATGCATTTATTCACACTGAAGTGTGAGCTGTCACAAACTGAATAGAGACACATTAAACATCATGATCAATGGTACGACAAACGTGTATGGGTTTCGTTTGGAGGTCAGGATAACAACCCCTTTCGCAGGCATGACAATAAGTACCCAATACGAACTGTTGATGTTTTCTTCAACAATTGGACGTGACCGCCTTAAATCTTGGGCGTCCATATTTGAAGGAACCCGATGTAGCAATAGTGAAGCAACTGCTAAGTAGACGGGTAATTAAACTACTGGCACAGGTGTTGCCCTCTACGTGTACAGTCTGATTTGAGTAGCTGATGGAGCAGATGATCACACAGCATGCGAATGCGATGCATTGTCCACTTCTGGCTCTCTGTGTCTCCGACCGGTTCGGTCATGTGCTGCCCGAGGCATGTGCACCTACTCAAAGAACGATTGATGCGCAACCTTTAGTATTGACAAGTGACATCAACTAAGTCCCGCTGCCCACTGTCAAACATGCGACTTTCCAAATAGTGTTCGCAACCGTTTGTACCTAACGACATGTACTCTACTGGGACCATA